GGGAAAAATAATGAAACAAATCTTTGGCTCTAATTTTCCTAGTTATTTTTGAAATCTGGTATTTTAAAAATACCTGTTATAATTTTTTTCAAAGGCAATGGGCAATTTTGAATGAATTTGGGATGAGCCTAATTTTGAGGTAGGTTATTCACCTTTTTCTGAAAATTGAACCTTTTTTAATTGTTTCATTTTAGGCATCCTAATCTGTACTGACTTGAAAAATAGTTCATTTGTGTTCACATTTCACCTTATCTTGTTGAACCAAACCAAGTTTCCCCACTCCAGCTTAATAGGCCTTCATCTAATTTGCCAGCATAAATTATAGTGTTTATGATTTGTGTTTACACTGTGATGTGTATGTATATATTGGGCCATCTTCTGATCACAGCATGATGCATCTAAATAATACCACTGAAGTGAACAGAATGCCTTGTATGATTAACACAAGTTGGGTGCTAATTGTTCTGGAGACCTGTCTTGAGGTCCTTAATATAGGAAATTTCACATTAAAATCGGTTCTCAAGGTTATCCCCAAAATTAAGTGTCTTGCATATCACAAGCACTATAATTTATGATGACAAATTAAAGGCCTTTTAGATTGCAGTGAAGGAAAGTTGGTTTGGTTCAACACTAGACAGTCTTGGAATAGGAAAACAAATGGGAAATGAAATGTAGTAGAATTCCATTCTCGAACTAATTGGCCATTTGTGTGGTGGGAGACAAAATTAATGCAGAAAGACAGTAAAAAAAAGGAGATGAAGGTCTTCTGATGTGAGGGGGACTCTTGATAAAGTATAGCCTTATAACAGACCCCCAGTTTGATCAATCCCAAAGCAGGAACCATTTTTTTTTTTTTTCATTATTTACAATGCATTAAATTGACTAGCCCTGTTTTAGGAAACAGAGCTTGCTAGCATTCACCACTGCTAGAAGTGTCATGGGCAGCCCAAGGTAAGTAAGGGGCTGGTGGAATCATGGGAAGGCTGGTGGTCTGTGGGGAGGTTGGTGGGTCCATGGGAGGAGTAGTTGGGAGGCTAAAAATAACCTGGTCAGTGTCTTGGTGGGAGGTAGGAACAGCACTCTTGTCATGCTGTAGATGGCCTTTCTCAGCCCTGGAGATGTGCTGTGAATGAATGCAGGCATTTGTTGGATTGGATTAACCCATTTTAGCTCAGTTTAACCAAGGTCAGTCTAAAGATAGTTCGCCTCTCAAGGTGAACTAATTCAGATCAGGAATACTATTTAGGGGAGTGGGCTGGGGTGAGGGGGTGAAGTGATTTAAGCTCATGTGACTACCTGCATGACTGGCCACTTAGATTGACCTAATCTGATTTAAGTTGATCTAAATGTAACCCTTAGTAAACTTTTCTCCCTGACCTATTAGGGATTGGTTGTAATAAATTTGAATTTATGACTTAACATTGAACTTTTTAGGCATGTATACATGAAATGGTTTGGTAACTTAAAACTAGAATGAGACCACATGATCACTGTTGAGAGGACTGGCAAGGCTAATTTATTGTTTAAGAAAATTAATATTGTGGGTTATTTAATTAAATTATGAAAACTTAGTAATTATATTAAAAATAATCACAACCTTTTATTTTTAAGCTAATTATCTAGCTATGTGGTCATTCAGAGGTGGAACATGTGGCAGCTTACAAGTACTGTGACCCTCTTTCCCAGATGACTTGAGTTAGAGTCATTAAAAGAAATCATTTCATTCTATACCTTGTTGATGGTTGGTATGTATAGAGGAACTGGAAGAACGTAAAGAGTGACCTGAATGGTTTGGCAACACAAAAGTAAGAGAATTGGAAGGGGGCGGGTTAAAAATGAAACAGAACAAAACAGAGTCCTATTAGAAAGAGACAGCAAATCCTTCTTCAGCCTTACTATTTGAAAGTAAAGCATAAGTACTGTGATGTATGGCAGTACTTTTATGACTTGAATTAATTGTATCATGAAACATAAATCTAGCTAGCATTTTCATGTTCAAGCTTATTTGTTACTTCCTAGGAGACAAGGAGCTAAAAAATGAAGTCCTCCCTCAATCCTTACCCATCATCATCTCCTAATAAAGGACTGGCTCCCTTTTTTTTGCCTGAATAAATGTGTTTGTGTTAGGCCCATGATAGGAACAATGGGATATTTTCTATTTTTGGACTTCAAAATTTCCTTCCTCCAAGAATGGGATGAAATTAAACTTGTGGTGAGGATGGCAGCCCAATTTTCTGTTCTACAGTGCTTCCCCCCTCTAACCTGCCTGCCTTGCCACCCACACACCCCCTACCCCCTTCTCACCCCCAGAACCACTCTCAAACCAGGCATATGTTGCAAGAAAAAGGCCTTATTCCCCTCACAACACCCAACCCTCATCCCTCCCCTCTCCCTCCTCAACACACAGAGCCATCTCCCTGCTCCCTCCCCAACCTCCCCACCCACCAACAATAAAAAAACCACAGAGCCCTCCCCAACCTCCCCACCCACCAACAATAAAA